CGAGCAGGGAGCCCGATGCGGGACTCGATCCCAGGACTCCAGGATCATGACCTGAGCCGAAGGCAGTCGCTTAACCAACTGAGCCACCCAGGCGCCCCATTCCTAACTTTAAGACATGTTACTAAAGGAGATTCATATACTTTCTTTCAAATACTTTTAAGAGTATATCATACAGTTATGCTTGACTTTTGTATCTTCCATTTCCAGTCACCAAATCCTGTCAGTTTCTACCTTCACAGAGTGTTTAGAACCTCACTGTTCTTTTCATTACCACTTCAAAAATTATAGTTTATGCATTTTTCTGTTTCCCACATTGTTTCATTTTACTCAACTTGTTTGGTGGATTAATGTTTAAAAAAAATGTAAGCATGTCAATCTACTTATTCGTGGGCACAGAAACAAATCTCTGCTCTATTCAAACAGCTCTTACGCACTGGCTCCAAATAAGTCAGATAAATTCCTGCCTTCAAACTTTGCCCACAACTTCATGTTCTCTCTGATCAATTATTTTCCAAACTTTCCTACTAATAAAAACTACTGGGGCAGGGAGGGGATGATAAAAATAGAGCTTCCCAGGGGCCTTCTCTGATCTGAAGCTGGATTTGGGAACTCGTATTTAACAACCACCCATGGTAATTCTTATCATAAAGTATGTTTGGGGGAAAAAGCCCCAAATCTTTTTTCTTTTTTAAAAAGTTTTGTATTTAAATTCTAGTTAGTTAACATACAGTGTAATATTAGCTTCAGGTGTAGAATTTAGTGATTTACCACTTATATACAACACCCAGTGCCCATCACAAGTGCCTTCCTTAATCCCCACCACCCATTTAACCCATCCCTCCAACCACCTCCTGTCTGGTAACCATCAGTTTGTTCTCTATAGTTAGGAGTATGCTTCTTGGTTTGCATCTCTCTTTTTTTCCCCCTATGATTGTTTTGTTTCTTAAATTCCACATATGAGTGAAATCACATGTTATTTGTCTCTCTCTGACTGACTTATTTCACTTAGCATAACATTCTCTAGCTCCATCCATGTTGTTCCAAATGGCAAGATTTCATTCTTTTTTATGGCTGGGTAATGTTCCATTATAGATATACATATACCACGTCTTCTTTATCCATTCATCAGTTGGTGAACGTTTGGGCTGTTTCCATATTTTGGCTATTTGTTGATAATGCTGCGATAAACATCAGGGTGCATGTATCCCTTTGAATTCTTAACCTTTCAAGGCATCAATAAGGACTCCCAAAATGCTCCAATCAATAATAACTTCTCTCTTTAAGTCCTAGAACAATTTTTTTTAAAGATTTTATTTATTTATTTGACATAGAGAGAAATAGTGAGAGCAGGAACACAAGCAGGGGAAGTGGGAGAGAGAGAAGCAGGCTTCCTGCCAAGCAGGGAGCCTGATGTAGGGCTCGATCCCAGCACCTTGGGATCATGACCTGAGCTGAAGGCAGATGCTTAAGGACTGAGCCACCCAGGCATCCCAGGCCTAGAACAATTTTTGTCTATGGTATTTTTATGGCTTTTAGTGTAGGTCCCTTACATTACATGATAATGTCCCACCTATCTGCAAACAAAAATTTGAGATAGCTATACTCTTACTGACTTTTTAAATGGAATGATCTGTTAATCCAATTAAAATGCAGACATTCTGAGGTTTAGTATTTGTATAAGAAACTTTCCTTTTTCTAGTGTCTTACATATTCTAGGTGCTCAATAAATTTTCACTAATGAAGATGAAATTGTTTTGGAGAGTGTATACAGGCTCTTTTCAGTCCAATTCTATGAAAGCATCTACAATAGAATAAAAGGTATACCTACACATACAGAAAACATTCAGAAACAAAAAGCTTTTATATATCATAGGAAGAAGTGGTAAAAGCTTTTGGCTAAGGATCTCTACCAAATTTAAACTTGGAAAAAGATTAAAACATTTTTGTACCACACAGAAATAATCCTTGTATAATAATGTGACTTAATCCAATAATTTCTTTCACTGACATTTCCTTAGCAATTTATTTGTTGATAAAGCAATTTATTTCATTAACCACATACCTTGTTTTTTTTACAGTGATGTTGCTGCTGAGTTTTTCTAGTCGGCATTCTCCAGTGTCATGGTTAATAATTAAAATGCATTCCTTTAAGTAAGGTTTCTTTGAACCTTTGAAAACAGTTACTGGTGGAGTTGAACCCTGTTTAAAAGTTAATTATCATTACTTAAAATTTATCACAGAAATTCAGTTGGGAGGCCTTTGAGATCTTCTGTTTCTCAATCTATGTTATACTTCAAGTCACCTAACTTCCTAAGTTTATTACTCAGACAACAGGGATTCGTCATAAAAAAGAGATGAAGCAAAGCTGAGGTCTCAAACCTGCTATCATTGAGGAAGGGGAATAGAGGAAGTACTTGCCCTAAAATCTGTTTCATTGGTCTACAACAGGCAATTTGTATTCAATTTTAATGCAGCCAATACATTTTACAGATAAGGGAACAGAAGCCCTGAATCATATTTCCTACGCATCCTCTTCTTCCTTCAGAAGTTTAGTTTTTTAAATCTAAAAATCTGGTGCTTCCCTATTCAGATCACCTATTACATGAAACCTCACTAATTAATTTTAGCATCATTAAAAGTGGGACAACCAGACATATCCTTCATGACGTGATATAAAACAAAGTAAGCAGCATCACCTATAAAGTAGTCTTGCCTAAATGCACACACACACACAGAATCTAACTCTTATCAAGCCTTCAGATATAACTATCAGTTTACAGCAAATATAAGGAATAGAGGAAGAAATGAGTAAGATACCCCTAAATAGCAATCCAAGGACTCAAATTACAGTTAAGAGATTTGTGCAATATTCTTCTTAAAGATATTTGGATTCCTACTTAGAATACATCTTAAAATTATAATACATTATTGTATTTTGAGTTCCTAAAGAATAAAGGACTGGATCATAATTTCTTTTCTTGCTCCTAGCACCTAAAGTACCAAACCCTTCACAAATACTAAATGGATATTGAATATGAACAATACGAACATTCTGATCCTAAGTAACAAGTTAAATAAGGTTTTCATAGTCTCTATACCTGCCTTCCACACTTTGAAAACGTTTTTAAAAAATAAAGTTTTTTTCCTTATTAAATTGAGCACCATTCCTATTTTAAACTTTAATTACTGCCTACTCCCTTATTCCATACCCCAAAAAAGGGGTATTAAAGTATTAAAGTACCAGGAAACTCCTATGCGTATGACTAAATAACTATTGTGAGCAAATGAAATTTAAATTAGAGGCAGCCTGAAAGATAAGGACTCAGCCACCATAGAACTGGGGGTAGAGGGCTCCAGGAAAAAGGAACAGCAAAACAGCAAATACAAAGGATCTGAGGCCAGAAAGATGAAGTGAGAGGGAAGGGGTGTGGGAAAGAGAGATGAGCTTGGGCAGATGGATGAGGGTTATATCCTGAAGGGTCTTGCTGGCCGTGGGAAGGGTTTGAGATTTTTTCTGCGAGTCATGAGAAGCATTTGGAGGCCTCTAAATAGAAGAATGACCATTTATTTATTTATTTATTGAGAGCATGTGAGAGCATGTGCGAGCAGGGGGAGGGGCAGAGGGATAGGAAGAGAGAATCCTAAGCAGGCTCCATGCCCAGCATGGAACCCAGTGTGGGACTGGATCTCAGGACCCTGAGATCATGACCTGAGCTGAAATCAAGAGTCTGATGCTCAACCAACTGAGCCACCCAGGTACCCCTGGAATTACCTTTTAAAAAACTGTCTTATATAAACATATGTGAACATCTATAGAGCTCTAGACACTGTTCCAAGTGTTCTGTATGTACAACATTAAACTCATTCAATCCTCAAAACAAACAAACTACTGAATACATCCAATCATCTCCATATTTACTGCTATTACCCAACTTCCGAACCCAATCATCATCTCACCTAGGTTCCTATTATCTCCGACCTACTCTCCTTCCAGGTTTATCCCCCATCTACTGACAGGGAAATCTGATCATGCCTGATTATGAATACCAGAAAAGGAAATTAATCTGTAATGGAAGGGAAAGGTACAATTGTACTCCCAAATAGGAGGGCGGAAAAAAGAAAGGAAAGAAGAGATGCTTAATGAAACTAATAAAATACAAATGAGAGAAAAATTAAAATAACAAACACACTAAAGATGATAGATATAAAAATCAAGTACATCAGCTTTGAACTAAATGTGGATAGAATTCTCTTAATAAAAATAGAAAGTGTTGAACTGGGTTTAAAAATAAAACAGAATAGGGGCATCTGGGTGGCTCGGTTGGTTGAGCACCCGACTCTTGGTTTTGGCTCAGGTCATGATCTCAGGGTCATGATCTCAGGATTGTGAGATTGAGCCCCACATCAGGCTCCATGCTCAGTGTGGAGTCTGCTTGGGATTCTCTCTTTTCCTCTCCTTCTGTCCCTACCCCTCCTCATGTGCTCTCTCTCTCTCTCTAAAAAATAAATTAATAAAAAAAACCCCAACAATATTCTGTTAACAAAAGATATACTTAAAACAAACTGTCAGCTAAATAAAAGAAACAGACACTGAGATTCCATGAACATGCATATCCAAAGAAAGCAAAGGTGGCAATATTAATATTAGACAAGATAGTATTTAAGCTTAAAATTTAAAAAAAGGATTAAAAGATATATATGATAAAAGATATAATTCATTTAAAAATATAACCGTAATAGGATGCTAAAATAGAACCAATCCTAAAATAAGCTGAGGTCCCAAGTATGTGGTGGGCTATTCTCATTTGAGCTAAATACTCAGTGGACAGAATCAAACCAGGTTCATCCTGGAAGGGATGTTGCCCAAGGGGGTGGTTTAGTGGCACAGTAGTGCATCTGACATATAGAATTTTCACAAGTCCAGCATTTGGGGGCTAAAGTCATAAGCAACCATTAGAGATGCATTTCCTGCGTAATAGTAAGTTAGTAGTAGTTGGAAGTTTCCAGTGGACTATTTCATTGAGTCCCACAAAAGTACTCCTCAAGATAGAGACAGCACTAAAGAATGCCAAACTTGGACAGCACCAATGACAAATCATAATAGTTACTTAAGTCTTTTCCTTTCAAAATTTGACATTTTGAAATTTTATAATAGTCAACTATAGAGAATTATTTGTAAGGAAGAGAGATTTGTAAATGTCTAATATTAATCAGTTTAACAGCCTTCATTTTTATTAGTTTCTTTTACTTGGTACTACCAAAGAAAATCCAGAAGAATGAAAATTAGAAAATCTACCCTATGAAGGAACTGCCAGAAACTGAAAATACTCTTAAAAGTATAGTATAATAAGGGGGATGGGGGGATGGGTTAGCCCAGTGATGGGTATTAAGGAGGGCATGTATTGCATGGAGCACTGGGTGTTATACACAAACAATGAATCATGGAACACTACATCAAAAACTAATGATGTACTGTATGGTGACTAACATAACATAAAAAAAAAGTATAGTATAATAAAAGTTCTATTTTATAGGATGACTTCTAGCTTCTAGTCATTTTTACCCAGATGATGAAAGCAAGTTCATAAAGAAAATAGAGAATCTAAATGCCTCAAACTAACAATCATTACATTTCCACAAAATTAAGAACTTTGAAGAAATGTAAACCTCCTACTTGTTAAAGAAGTTCTTTACTTAAGGGAAGAAAACCCACAAAGTGTATTTGAGAATGTAATTTCTATTGTTAATCATAATCGTTCTAGGACTGAATGGCCAGCAGAAAAAAATATTTGCTGTAGAAAGCTGGTAATTTTAACAATTCTCTTTCATTTCAGCTGTCTAAAAGGGTTATAGGATAAAGTTTAAATTCTTTTGCTTACACATTAAGCCCTTTTTTAATCTGATTCCTAAATACCTTTCCATCTCCCACTATGTCCCTAGTGGACTCCTTCTGATCTAGCCACAGTGGCTTACATGTAGTTCTTCAAATGTAACAGACTTTTTTGTTGCCTTGTCTTAGCCCATGTCTTTTTCTTTTCTCTGCCTAAAATGTCTTCTCTCTTTCCTTTACCAGGGTAACTTCAACTCTTCTTCAAGACAGCATACCCTGGCATCTCTTCTTTCTCCACTGAGTTCTCTTCTGCACTTCTGTAATATTCTGTGTATACCTCTGTGACAGTCCTTATATTTCTATATTTTAATCAGTTATTTCCTATCTTCCTCATTAAATGGTAATATTTTTCAGGACACTGACCGTGTCTAGTCTTCTGCTGTATTCGCAATAGCTACCTAGCATAGGAGTTACCACACAGAAGGTACATGTATATATGGCCCATCTGTCTATCTGTTTCTCTTTCTCATACACACATATACACACACAAATATTGGGACATATTCTTTTTGGATATATCTCTGGTGGACTGGTGGGAGGGATGTTACTTCTTCCCAAATTATTTCTTTGTTGTTTTAGAAATTTACAATTTGAAGGCTTGAAAACTTCCTTCTATACTTGTCATTCCTTAAAGAGATATTTCAATTGAGATCAAACCCAAACACATAGTGGATGGTAACTCTTGCTTAAAAAAGGATATGTGTGAATGAGAAAGTTTTATTAGTAAATGTAAGAATTCCCATATGCTTATAATAGAAAAGCGTGCAAGGAATGAGGATGGAAGGATTGTTAATTTGAGAAAAGAAAATTCTACATGGCAAAGAAGAACCCAGCTAAAGTTTTTTTGCAAACCAATCATTGCTGATCAATAATCCTATAATCTGAAAGTAGGCTAGTGGTACCTGTTATCAACTTAAGGCTTTTCAATAACTTTTAGAATTAAGGGGATAGTTTAGGTTTTTCTTTAATAAACATCATAAAGCAAAAAAGCCTTAGACTTATGGGTACTAAATTTCCAAACTATTTTAGAGATGCCAGCTTTTCATAACAGAGTAATACAAAAGTTTATTCATCCACATGTCTCACACTGAATTGGTTGTTCATTTCCTTCAGTTTGTAAGGGAGCAAATGAGAAGTCTCCCCCACAAATTTAATTAACCTCAGGAAAACTTTCAGAGGCAGCAACTGATACAGTCTGACATAACAGTGGGGTCTCAATAAATAGTGTTGGACTGATAAAAATAAGACTAGAAGACTAGAGGATAGAAAGCTTGCTTGCTCTGCCTCTAATCACAACAAATCATCTCAT